TAAGTACCTGCATGTCATAAGCATCTGAATTAAAATTACCATATTGAAATCAAATCTGATGTTTTTTAATTTTTATTTGGTGTGCATTGGAACAGGGGTAGTCTTATACGGCGAGTATAGCCCAAACTCTATATTTTAACTGGAAAAGTTGGGGGTCGTCTTATACGCCCAGTCGTCTTATACGCCGGAATATACGGTACATTTTCAGCATTTTCAGCAAAGACAATCACATTTTCTCAAACCCTCTGCCCTATCCTATCAGCACTTCTGCTTTCTATCAGTAGGGCATGTACATGTATCCCCCAACAGAGAAATATTCTGCTTTAAATAAAAATAACTTAAAAGCAATAACAGAAAAATTACTGACTGAAAAAAGCCAACATAAAAATGCCATCATTTCCCACACGGAGTTGGTCTGCATCGCTGAAGTCATCTCTTGGGGGATATTCTTCTTCCTTTAAGAGGACAAGAAACACATTTTAACAGCGGACAACAAACACATTTTAACAGAACGATAACGAGTAAGATTTTGTAAACCACAACTTTTTGCAGGAGTAGGAATCTATGTATGAAATCAAGGATGCATTATGAAAGGGATGTATTTCGGCTATCCAGTTAAGATGTAAATTGTCATAACCCTTCATTAAAATCAAATCAACAATACATCTTCAAAATGTATCTTATGTTGTATTTATCAGCAGCCATATGCCCCAGTTTTTAAGTCATAATGAGTAAAAATGGTAGAAACATAGAAAACTTGAAGGCAGAGAGTCCATCGAGTTTGCCTTTTGAGTTTTTTTTTCTTTCTAATTTATGTCTTTTTAAATTATTTATTTTTATTTGTTTGTATTCATTTTTTTTAATGAAACGGTCTTTAGGTGGCCTTTCCCTCTCCTTGACTAATCTAAAATTACCTAGCACAGTGGTGGTGAACCTATGGCACGGGTACCAGAGGCGGCACTCGGAGCCCTCTCTGTGGGCACACGTGCCGTTGCCCCAGCCTCACCTCCCCCCGCGACCCCATCTCCAGCAGCCCCCCTGAAGGAGAGTCGCCCCCGAGCGTGGCCCACACGGAGCAGTGCAGCCAAGGACATGGCATCCAGGCAGCGTAGACAAGACTCTGCCCTCATGCCCCATCATGCACAGTTGATGCTGCGGGGCACGGGCAGAGGGTGTGGCTGCCATAGTGCTGCTGGGCTGCCTGGGCGATCTGCGGCGGGCCCTGGAGGCGGTGAGTGGCCTTGCGGGCAGGCGGGACAGGGGATGGGGGGGCAGAGTGGGGGCGGGGCAAGGGGGTGGAGTGGGGGTGGGGCCAGTTTTTGGGCACTCGGTCTCTAAAAGGTTCATCATCACTGACCTAGCATGTGGAAATCCCATGCTTGCCTGTTAGAACATTTTACTTACTTTGGCAGAATCTGGATGTAATATACAGGATCAGGCCTGAGTAGTCATTGAATTGGAGACTGGTAAAAATACCAGTTTTCCAAGTTTTAAAAACTTTGGAAAAAGGCAATTACAAACTATTTTTGTACTGTTGCCACCACCCGAAGTCCCTAGGAGTGGAACTCAAAGGAGATTTTATCTTTTTTAAAAAAAAAAATAGAAGGTTTAGGAGTTTCCTTAATCAGTCCTTATCTAAAGATCATTTCTATGGAGCACATCTCTTATTACCAGTTATTGTGCTAGCCACAGTTATAATAGACAGCAGCCCTTGAGGCACTGCAAAATGAGAAACATGGAGGGTAAATTGCATGTTATTTTGTTATTCGATTTTAATTTAATTTAATTTAATTTAATAATTTAATTTATATACCGCCCTTCTCCCGTAATCCCAGCTTTGACACTGAGGACACAGAGAAACCTCCAAATGGCCTCAACGACTCTCAGAAAGAGTGCTAATGACCAGATGACTGCAAGGAATATAAATCATTCCATTCTCCACCATTCAGTCAGAACTGAAGAAGCTTCTTGGATGAGAAGCGAAACATCTTCAAGGAAAAACGAAGTCCAGTTGCCTTTTGAAAAAAAGCACCTTTGGGACTATGTATTTGATAGTGTCTCTTGGTAACTAAGAAAGTCATTCTATTTCCAGAATATTGTGTGATTCTCTGCAGGTAAATATCTTTCATTATGTATAATGTTTCTTTTCTTGGGACATTCCATTCAGGAACATTATGGGGTAGGGAATAAAAGATTCTCTTGGTTTCCTCAACCAACGGCACGCCAGTCACTAGACTTTTAAAAACAACACACTTTAATTGTTGTCATTTTGTGACTTGAAATATTTCTTTTTTATATGTGAAAGCAGGAAGGAATGACTAATCCATAGTATAATCATGAGTTTCATTTACTCCATTCAAAAAAGGCATGTATATTTATAAGGTGCAATGACTGGCTACCATTTATAGCACATTTATTATTTATTTATTTATTTTATTTTGCCCTAATGTTATGTCCACTGGCAGAGTATTTCACCAGATCCATTCAATTAACATTTTTCTATAATATTTAATGGAAAGCAAGTAAGAATATAAGAATATCTACGCTTTCTATTCTTAATACTTGATGTTTATATATTGTCTTAATATTTCATTACTAGATGTGTGTATATATTGTTCAAACAATATATTCAAAGAGAGGCTAAGATCATTCTTAAAGATACAAAGGATTATTGATTAATGAAAATATATTTATAATGCAAACCAATAATGAACTAACCATGAAACCCAAATGTTTTATATATATTGGCCATAGTGGGGCTGTGCAAATGATCCATGTGGGAAGGATGTGATACTTCAGAATTTCATAACATTGATAAATTACAAAATAAAGTAAGTATACAACTGACAATTCACTAGCACTTTACAGCCCCCAATTTTGAAACTATTGAGACATGCAGCATATGGCCATCCAAACATGCAACAATAGTAAACTATCACAATATTCAATCCACAAAGTACTAAAAGCATTCTAAAATTAATGCTTTGCTGATATTCAAACGCCAGAGGGAGCTAACATCCTAAAAATTGTTACATGAAGTTGTCTAGGCAGACTCTCAATATTTTTTTTTGCCTACACCATTATAAAGTGTGTAAAGCAGTTTATCTGCATACCATTTCAAAGAACTAAAATTTATAGCACAACACGGAAGCTGTCACTCTTCCCAAATAATCTCTATGAGGCCTGTTTTTAAATTTGAAATACAAATATGCAGATGAATACTCAGCAGAATTATGCAGACTAATTTACAAAGCATGCACTTATCCTTTGAAACAAGGTAAGTTGTTATGCTATTTAAAAAAAAATCCACTCAGTGTATGTCTCTTTTTAAGTGGGAATTCTTTTTAAACAGTAGGTTTATTTCTTAAAAAAAGACTTTCAAGAAGCTGAAGTAGTATACTTTAAGGTATATTAAATTCATGTGTCACTTTCTACACTCCCAAAATATTGAAACAAACAAAATCTTTATTTAGAGCTTAAAACTTATTTAAAGCTTAAAACTTGCTACCTCATCATTAAAAGTTATTTACCAATATAGGCAATTAAACAGGCTATTTCCCTGTTAAATAATTATAACCCTAGAATCCTGAAGTTATGCACATTTGAAGGGGGTAAATGTACAAGATTTCACAAAATCTGGGTTAGAGTACTCTAAGCTGAGGTAGTCAAAATTGTATGCCAACAAATGTTAATTCTTTTATAGAAAAAAATATAATGATTTCGCGAGGGTGTGTTTTTAAATTATTTTTAACAATAGTCACACAATGAGTTAAAGCACTGAATTTCCAATCACTGAAAGTCCCATCCTGATATATGATGACTCTTTAAATCTGCTGATCCTAATTACATGAGAAATGTATGAATAATGCACAGATATTACAACCACGTGAGAAGAATGAGAAACACACATCTGAACTTTACATTCAGATATCCTACGATGCATTCATTTATGACTGAGATTAAGTAATGAGTCATCATCAGGAAAGCCATCAACGGTTAAACTATTTTTATATGCAATTTAATTTCATTGCACTATTTTTCCTTGAATATTCCAGTCAGCAGAGTCCAAGACCAACAAATATGGGACACAATAAGCTAACGTATTTCAGAATGGTAGAATCTGATCTGTTATTCTGATAAACAACTAATAACTTATTCACACAAACACAACAAAAAAGGTTTATTATAAAACAAAATAAAGAAGTATAATTCATACTTCAAATTGCCTCCCAGAAGAAAATTAATGTATTGGAAACCCTATTTGCTTTCACGAATAGGTTTTTTCCCCCCACAATTTCATCCAGAGCTCAGTTGCTCACTGTACTGGATACAGCATCTAAACTCTTAAAACTTAAAGCTCTCTAATCTTAGCTCTTAGATGCTACACAAATGAATACTAGGACTATTTAGTACTTTCAATTAGATCTCCAAAAGGCAGCTCAAGCATCATGTAACATCTGTGTGAAACTTCTTAAAGCACCTGTGTCCTTCCCAAGAGTCACAGAGTACAGGTAATTGACTTACAACGGTTTGTTCAGTGACTGCTCAAAGTTACAACAGCATTGACAAAAGCGACTTATGATTGTTTTTTCACTGACAATCGTTGCAGCATTCCCCTGGTGACCTGCTCAAACTTCAGGTGCTGGGCAACTGGCATGTACTTGTGACGGTTACAGTGTCCCCAGGTCATGTAATCGCCTTGCATGACCCTTTGACAAGCCAAGTCAAGAGGAAGCCAGAGTCACTTAATCAACTTAACAACTGCAGCGATTCACTTAACACAGGGGTCTTCAAATTTGGCCCTTTTATGACTTGTGGACTTCAACTCCCAGAATTCCTCAGCCCGGCACGCTAGCTGAGGAATTCTGGGAGTTGAAGTCTACAAGTCATAAAAAGGCCAAGTTTGAAAACCCCTGACTTAACAAGTGTGGCAAGAAAAAAATGTAAAATGGGGCAAAGCTCACTTAACTTTCTCACTTAGCAACGGAAATTTTGGGCTCGACTGTGGTCATTAAGTCAAGGACAATTTATAGTTGCTGAAGGCAACCTTGTCATTCTGAAAGAAGGTATGGCTGCTTTAAGTTGTTGGTGCATGAGTGCCCCAAAGGATTTCTGGGAGATCAAATTCAAAGCAAAGCATATATGATAAATACGTGAGTGCCTTGGAGCACTCTAGAGAAGACATGTCAAACTCACGACGTCACATGACATCGTGCAACGTATCAGGACAGTTTTGCCATTGCCGGCAATGGGGTGGGCGGGGCTTCTATGTTGACACGTCCAGCCCGCGGGCCGGCAGTTTGACGCCCCTGCTCTAGAATGTGAATGACCTGCACTACCTCATTCAGGGTGTCTGGCCTTTTAAGCAAAATGCCTCTGTAATTATTCTCCATAATTAAAAGAACTAAATATCCTTATAAACAAAAATTAACACATGCATAATGTTTTGAAATATGCCCTACCTTGCTCTGTGCAGCTCACTTCTAAATAAATCTGTGTGGGACTGCCATTTGTCATTTATTTATTTTCAATTTTATTGATTTATTCAATTTGTACAGCCGCCCATGTGAAACCAGTGAGTCTGGGTGGCGAGCCATCATAAAAACCATTAAAACAGTCAAAAACACAATACAAAAAAAACCTTAAAGGCAAATAGCAGCCAAGAGATATTATAATCCATCAGTGTCTGTGTTCCGTTTTATTAGGACTATAATCTTACTGCATGCAATAGGACAGGGGTCTCCAACCTTGGCAACTTTTAAGACTTGTGGACTTCAACTCCCAGAAGCTGGCTGAGGAATTCTGGGAGTTGAAGTCCACAAGTCTTAAAGTTGCCAAGGTTGAGGACCCCTGCAATAGGATACTTCCAAACAGAAATGAACAGATTTGCAATGTAGGTCACTTTCTTTTATGAAAGTATTATAATTCATTTGAGAGGGTAAGTTTATTTAGAAAAGGAAAAGATTTTTTTTTTAATGTCTGCCATAAATGAACTTCACTGCAAAATCTAAACTTCACAGAATGGAATCATACCTCTGGTGGACTCAGGAATATTTCATCAAACAGACTCCTAGACTCCCTAAATTGGCCGTGCTAAGCATGTAAAGAAAATAAGACAGAAGAGCTAAACGTGTGTTAAATCATCCTGTACAAGTCATTCTATCTCTGTAAATTAATTTTTAAATAAAATTTAACAATGAAGTTAAATCAAGGACATAGAAACCCAGTCATTCAAATTTTGAAGAAAAAAAAATTAACAGTAAATTATTCCTATATAAACACATATAGTGAATTTTGCTCAAGCCTTCGTAGCTGACTCATTGCATTTTTTTGTACAAGAGGGTTACATAAAATAGAATATAATGTAATAATAGTGTATATATAATATAAACAGAATATAATGTAATAATGAAATATTTTTTAAAAACCTGCTTACTGGTCTCCATACAAGATTATATCATATTATGACATGCTTTCTTGGATTGCCTGGACAGTATACAATATACATCATAAAAATATTATTGTTAACACACTGTGCACAGTATTTATAGATTAGAACCTGGAAACTGTCATCACAGCTGAAATAAGAGGGGCTAACCTATATAAATTCTTCTGCTAGCAGCCTAGGAAGCTGAGTACCTGAGGTAGCATAACTATATGGTACTTTAACGGGTGACACCATCAGATTAAACATAACCCATCAATATCTACTAGAAATCTATCAGGAATCAGGGGGGGAAAAGCTGCTACTGCTGCATGCCAAAGTCTGGAAAAAGCCACCGCCTTGGCTGAGTTTCTAAATACAGGTAGTCCTCAACTTACAATAGTTCATTTGGTGACCGTTCAAAGTTACAATTATTCATTACTGTATTTAACTTTAATTTACTTAAATTATCTAAAAAGGGAGTTAAAGTGCTTTATAGATTTGGTAATTTAATAGTTGGTTAATGTTATTTAGATTATGATTATTATTTGTTAACCCTGTGAATAGCTCTGGGAAGTGGGGTGGGAGGGGGGGTTTGGGGGTGGGAAGGGGGGAAAATATTGTAATCTTTATAAAACTTTTAATAAAAAAAAAGTTACAATGGCACTGAAAAAAGTGACTTAGGACTGTTTTTCACATTTAACGACCATTGCAGCAGCCGCACGGTCACGTGATCAAAATTCAGATGCTTGGCAACCAGCTCGTATTTATGACGGTTGCAGTGTCCCGGGGTCACATGATCCCCTTTTGTGACATTCTGACAATCAAAGTCAATGGGGAAACCAGATTCACTTAATAACCGTGTTACCCACTAAACAACTAAAGTGATTCACTTAACAACTGTGGCAAGAAAGGTCGTAAAAAGGGGGCAAAACTCACTTAATAACTGTCTTGCTTAGCAACAGAGAGTTGGGGCTCAATTGTGGCCGTAAATCGAGGACTACCTGTATATTTTACTTGCTTAACTGTTGTGCAAAGTCTGAGGTCTACCTTTTGGCAATCAAGTTTTGAAATAATTAAAAGCCTCCAGACTTAAATAACAAATATATATATCCTTTAAAAAAACCCTATGCAAACATTAAGAAGAACTGGGACTTGACTTAATACGGCACGTACAAAAGGCAGACTTGTGTAGTGTAGTTTCCAAAGGGTACATTTACGTAGCACAATCTGCTTACTCACTCTGTGGGTTGCTGCTTCTGCTGCAACAGCTGCCATTGCCGCAGCTTTGGCCTTCTCCGCCTCATCGTAAGTGGGAAGAGAAGTAGCTACGCTGTACGGAGGTGGCACTGGGTAAAATTCATTAGGTGATTCCACTTCTGTAAAAGAACAGAGACTCATCTGGGTGGAAATAAACAAGCCGAGGCTGAATCCAGATAAGACAAAGCTGCTGTTAGTTCAACACAGTTCTCTGCCAGCCATTGTCTCTAAGAGGAAGCTTGGATGGGTGGACAGGGTGTTATTGTGGTGGAGGTGTTTGGAGTGTACCATGCTTGATTTGTTTTGCAGCTGCTGGTATGTGGCTGCACCTGCTTCTCTTGCTTGATCCTGGTTGTGTTTCCTGTTTTTTATTGCTCGTTTTGTTGTTTGATGTTGCTGGTCATTGACCGAATAAATACATTTCAAATTCAAATTCAAATTTCAAGTTCTCTAGAGCAGTGGTGGCGAACCTATGGCACGCGTGCCAGAGGCGGCACTCAGAGCCCTCTCTGTGGGTATGCACGCCATCGCCCTAGCCCCAACTCCCCCGCAGCCCCCTCCTCACCAGCAGCCCCCCCAGAGGAGCGTTGCCCCCGGGTGTGGCCCGCACAGAGCAGCGCAGCCAAGGACATGGCAGCCGGGCGGGGAGCAGGCGGAGGGCATGGCTGCCATGGTGCTGCAGGGCCGCCTGGGCAATCTGCTGCGGTGGGTCGTGGAGACGGTGGGTGGCCCTGTGGGTGGGGCGGGCAGGCCAGGAGGTGGAGCAGGGGCGGGCTGGAGCGGTTTTTGGGCACTCAGTCTCTAAAAGGTTCACCATCACTGCTCTAGAGGAAGCCAGTCTATGACCTAGGATTGTCTTGGATTAATAACAACTTCTCGATGAACAATTGGAAGCTATGCCTAAAGGAATCTTGTCTAGCTATACTGGATGCACACTGTCACTACAGTCTTTCGTGGGAAGGCAAAGAAGACTTTGTGACAGTAACTCACACTTTCATCCTAACCAGCTATGATACTGTAAGGTGCTTCACATTCCCTTTAAAGGTCAGTTTGAAACAAATGTTGATTTAAAGTAGAGTGGCCCGCATATTACCTGGCACTAAATGCTATAGGCACAATACATCTATGCTGTATGCCTTGCAGTGGGTGACAGTAGAATTCTGTGTGCAGTTTAAAGTCCTATGTAGCAGAGTGTGGAACTACCTTTTTCAACTAGAATCAACTAACTAATCCAATATGACTATCTGGGAAACACTGTGTGCAATTCTTCAGTACTATAAAACTGCACGGGAGGGGTGGGGGAGGCAGAGAGAGGAGGCTGCCCAATATTATGGAACAGCTAAGTTTGCTCCCATGCGGTTGGTTTTCTGGATGGAGGTCAAAATGGATCTCACCCGAAGAGTTTAACTTCAAATGGGAAAAATCATAGGAATGTTTCAACTTATTCCATTAGATTTTTTTTTATTACTTCAATGTATGTGTTACATTTTTATTATTGTAAGACTGGCTTTATTGCTTTATTCTTACATCCATGTTTTTGCACTGGTGAGTTATATGATCTAGATCAGGGGTAGTCAACCTTGGCTCTTTTATGACTTATGGACTTCAACTCCCAGAATTCCTGAGCCAGCATGGCTGGCTCAGGAATGCTGGGAGTTGAAGTCCACGAGTCATAAAAGAGCCAAGGTTGACTACCCCTGATCTAGATTAACGTGCTCTTATTTGCCAAATTATATTTGTTTAATTATTGTACTAATCCTGGATAGCGTGTTCTGCTTTCTACAAGTTGCAATTCCCATTTCCTACCTTACAAGAAACCCATGTCTTTTCAAAATAGTATGTACACATTTGTACACATACGCACTACCTAAAACCAAGAAAACACTTTTGCTTTTGATGCAATTATTCTTATATAAAATTAAATCAATTAAATCAAAGATTTTTTTAAAAAAATCGTATGATTATTCTTCTATATAAATAAAAATGTAAATGTTCGTTTGTTCAAAATCTTAAATCTCCGAAAGTTCTTCACCGATTGCTTTGAAATTTTGATACAACGTTGCATTCGAATACGCGCGTTTTTATATACCTATATTATATATAGATGTCACACTTGTGACAGGTAAAAACATGCTTTTTTTGAAAAACAGCGCCATCTGTTGGACGTAAAAGCAACACACGCTTTTACCAGACTTAGCCACAGCAACGCGTGGCTGGGTACAGCTAGTTGGAGTATAATTAAATTAAAAACCCTAATCTCATAATGCATAGAGAGGAAGGCATAATCAGACAAATTAATTGCACGAAATCCAATTTAGCCTGTTTGTACCGATAGGTGAAACAAAATCATTTGACTTTTGGATGAAAGAATTGAGCAAAGCATCTTTAAGCAGGTCAGCGGAAGCAGGCCATAGGAGTGCTGGTGGCACTATTTCAGCATTTGCTAAAAATACCTGGGGTGGTTATATAATCATGAAAAGGGCAGTACCTGTTGGTGCAGCTGCTTCTGTAGCGATGCTACAATAAGGTGGAGGGGAAGTATCCACTTCAGCTGAAGATGCCTCTGTTTGACAAGCTGGTGCAGTTTGCGTAGAAGTGGACGGTTGTTCAACTGTAGATTCTGCAGGATCATCTTCATTATGAAGCTTTAAAGAAAAACAAATGGAATTAAAATATGTGCACCCCAATATGACATTTGACTAGATAATGTGTACTTAAGTATTTGTGCTGTAAATAAACAAGAGAGTAATACTTTATCTTTCAAGCACTCAGACACTCATAGTAGAAAAGGGTTATATGGGTGTTTCTTCCTCTTAAGTGTTCTGTGTTTCTTTCATCTTGACTATGATGGAGATCAAAAGCATTACGGGTGACAGTTTTTCTCCCAGCCCTTCGATATTCATCACGTTGTACATTTTCTCCCGGATATTAATTGTACACTGGGATAATCCACAATTAAATGCAGAAAGTATTTCAAAATGATTTCTCTGTTTAGCATCTAACTCCCTTCTTGCAACTGATTCTTGAATCTGATTACAGCTCACTGGTAGAACATGGTTCCCCTTGAAAATACTATTGCTCAAATTCTATCTTCCTTCTGGTAATCATGGTAGCAGTGCTATGAAAAAGAATGGCGGGGTAAAATTGTCTGAAAAACAACTCCTGTTGCTATCAAAGCAATGCAAAAAAATAAGTCACACCAACTTGATGATTTTAACCATCTATTTTAACTTGGCAGCACAAGGAAACAATGTGTCAGAACCCATTTCTTTAGTGGGGAGGGGAACTTTAGCTGGTTCAGTCTTTTCTTTTCCCTTCTGAGGGTTCTGCCATTCTCCTGGGAGAGGGGGGAAGCTCGAGGGAATCGTTTTGTATCTTTTTCCATTCACTTAGCTGCTCCGCTTCCTCTATCTCAGGGCTAGGCCACCTTGGCTCTTTTATGACTCCTGGACTTCAACTCCCAGAATTCCTGAGCCAGCCATGCTGAGGAGAAAGGGAGAAGTTTCCATGCTGAGCCATGCTGGCTCAAAAATTCTGGGAGTTGAAGTCCACGAGCCATAAAAGAGCCAAGGTTGCCTACCCCTGCTCTATCTGCTTGCTCTTTGAACTGATTCCCCCTTGATGCCAATTTGGGGCGGGCATCTGGCTTATCTCTCTGCAGAAAAAAAGATGTGGAAGACTCAACAACAGTTTTCACAGCCTTGGGAACAGAATCTTATCAGCCTCATTCCCACAGCGGACACCTGGGGATTGCCTCGTTTGAACTGACCGGAGAGAACTATTGGGGTGGGGTTTACTTTTTGCTCCTTTAACCTATTGATTTGAGCAGGAAACCCTCAGATCCTGCCTTCTGTGCCTGCTGTCAGCTTCTCCTAATAAAAGTTCCTTTTGGGATGAAATCATTCCAGGAGTTCTGCTTCCTTGGGAAGAGGTTTTGAAGCGGGTCCTTACACAACAGCCAACGACATCAACACCCCAATCAATCCAATAAGAAGCCACACCCAACCAGGCACCACATAAATACAACGCATAGAACAACCCCAAAGGACCCTCAAGCAGGAGACCCTATAGCAGAGGTCCCCAACCTGTTGGGAACCAGGGACCAGTTCCGTGGAGAGAGGTTTTTCCGCGGACCGGAGGGTGTGTGGTTTTGTGTGCTGCCTGCATCTCATGGATGGGGCTTTGCTTGTTTGTACGGGCCAGTTGCTGGCATGCCGCGGCCCGGTACTGGTCCACGGACTGGAGGTTGGGGACCCCTGCCCTATAGCATTCCGGATAAAAGGACTGAATTTAAAGACATTCACACAGAATACTAAATAACGATGGATACATCCAGATGTGATGTGAGAGGGCTAGATTTACTCTCCTTGTTCTTTTGTTTCATTCACCTCTGCTTCTTTTACCAGCATGACCAGGTACAGGCAGTCCTCCACTTACGACCTTTCATTTAATGACTGTACAAAGTGTGGGAAGTCAGCCCCCCCCCCCCCAGAGAAAGAAATATTTTTGGAAATATTTAAGACAGAATATATTTCCCTAAAGGATTTAAAGGTAGAAACCAACACACACACCCCAAGTCTCTTTGTCCCAAAAAGAAACCAAATCTGCAAAATTGCAGATGTGATAATCTTGACAGACTGGAGTCAGAAAACTGGGATTAGGAAGAAAGATCCCTAGAATCAACAACCCCTCACGCCAAAAATCTAAGACTCATCAGCCACAGCTCCAGGGAAGCAGTGGATGCCATTGTTTGATCAGCGGAACCCAGGGCACATCAACTCTACCACATCAAACTGGCCAATCAGATACAATGGGAGATGGGCCGTCCCTCAAGTAAACAAGTGATGGCGAACCTTTTAGAGACCGAGTGCCCCAAAACCACCCCGCACCCCGCCCTGCCCCACACTTCCCCACCACCTGCACTGCTCCGCCCGCCCGCAGGGCCACCCACCACCTCCACGGCCAGCCGCAGATCTCCCAGGCGGCCTGGAAGCATCATGGTGGCCATGCTCTCCACCCACAGCATCATCTGCACGCGATTGGGCACAAGGGCGAAGTCTTGACCCAGCTGCCTGGCTGCCATATCCTTGGCTGTGCTGTTCTGCACGGGCCCTGCCTGGGGACGACTCTCCTCTGGGGGGGGGGCTGCTGGTGAGGAGGGGGCCGTGGGGGGAGCGACTGCGCATGCCCACAGAGAGGACTCTCAGTGCCGCCTCTGGCACGCGTGCCATAGGTTTGCCACCACTGCCCTATGTCGTGAAAGATTTTATAGGTAGCAACCAATACTTGAATTGCACTCAAAAGCAAGTGGCAATCGGTGCAGTTCATGCAGCAGAGGTTTTACATGGGCATATTGAAGAATGCCCATTACCTCTCATGCTGCTGCATTTTGATCCAGCTGGAAATTACAGGTGGTATTCAAGAGCAAGCCCTTGTAGCGTGCATTGCAGTAATCAAGCCATGAGGTGACCAGGGCATGAGGGATTGCCTGAAGGGACAACGAATCCAGAAAGGTAAACAGATAACTCTAGTGAAATCTTTACTTTTACTTACCATATTACGGTAAGTTATCTACGTTATCATAGTTATCTAACTATACTAAACTGAAACTCGACACAAATATACAAAATTCATAAGCCCTGCCAGTAATTAGACAGTTACCAATTCTCTCTCCACTCACGAAGGTTAAGTTATTGCCCACAGTTGCACAATTAAATAGAAACACGTATTTTAACACTTCCCAAATAAAAGTCTCATGACAGGGAAGAAGAAATCTACAAGGGTTTCTGAGGTGATTAAGGGAGAATAGAAACTTGACTTTAAAGCTTGCCAAGATATGTTTGCTTAGGAAAAATCTAATTAGATACACGTGAAGCAAATTTAATTAAATACAAAACAGATTTCACATGACAGCAAAAGATAATAGGGCAAGGATTAAACAGCTATGCTAAAAGGTGGGCAAGCTTCTTTTTTTTTGGCAGCTGGGGACCACATTAAATATATTTGGAAGGCAAAATGAGCAGGTTGATTCTACAAAATGAGCAAGGCCATGTAACACACATAGTAGGAGACTATGATTTTCACCATTCAAATGATCATGTTACAGACCTAAGGAGCTGTTTTTAAGTTCACATATTTTCTTCCTCTTTTCCTATGAAGTCCTCACAACACATGAGATCAGATTCTGGTAATAGATCTGGAGAAACTTCAAAACACACAGAATGAGACAAAACAAGATAGAAATAGCAAGCAAAGTACATGTTGTGGAATTCTTTACCACTGTACCAGTAGTACCAGGGAACATGTCTACATTTTCCTCTGTGCAACAAAATAATGTATTATATCTGTGTGTGTGTGCATTTGTGTACCAGAGCAGTCCAGTATTCTGGGCAATTTGACTAGGAGAGAGAAAAGAGACCTTAACAAGGAGCAGTCAGCAACCTGATGAACTGCAGATCAACTGCTTCTACCACTACAGCTACCAACCTGATCCAGACCACTTTTAAACTCTATTTTTTCTTTTGTAAAATTGTCTCTGCCCACAAAATTGTGTCCATTCCATTATTTTCAGGTGAGTTATCCTGGCAAAGGCAGATAGACAGATTCTCAAACCTCTTTTAAAAGATTCTTTCCAATATTCTACTGGGTTGGGAAAAAAAGAACCAGAGGAATGGGTAACCCCTTCTACTTGATTAATCTCTATATCACAAGCAAATGCAAAATACTTCAAATTATGACCTTTTGTTAAGGTTACAGGTATCAAATACAAAAACTGTAATGAAATATAAAATGAATCTTTAAAAAGAATAGACACAGAGGAAACAATGTTCTTTAGATACGAGTTCCTTGAAATTAAACCTAGTTGGACAAGACTATCAGTAAGGTTGATTAGAAAGAGACAGGGCAGAGAATATAAAATTCAGAATAAAGCACTGATGTAACTTGAGAGGTCAGCATTCTTACCAACAAACTGCAATTAAAAAGATTTAAGAAACAGAACAGAAACATGTTCCTGAGTCAGAGGTTCTCAAACCATCATTTGTGATCCTTGAAAACTCATTCCAAATTGTCCTCCAGAAACATTGCAGAGCAGAAAGTCTAAGAGATACTGGATCAGCCCTGAACTTGATTCCCCACCCACCCAACATCAGAAATTCAAAACTATTTTGACCAGGATCATTTTGTCAAGCTTGTTAATAAGGCCTAAGATGATTTTCATGACATCTTATTCTGCGACAACTAAGAGACAAGATGATTATGAACAGGACTTGCAAGCCCAGCCAGAAAAAAACCCAAACCTGCAGTATTTAAATTCAGCTTTGGGAGAACCACACCTTTCACCCCTGCTGTATAAAACAAAAGCTGCTTGTAGTGTGGTATGACTGGGTCTAATACAGTGGTTCTCAACCTATGGGTCGTGACCCCATTTGGGGTCGATCGACCATTTCACAGGGGTCGCCAAGCAAGGCTGTCCACCATTTTTTTCCCCTTTTCCGGCGGGTGCCTTACCTCCCTTGAGCTGGGCCAGCTGGTGGTCGGCCTGCTCCGTCTCTGCCGCTTGCCAGCTACGCCTCGGCCGGCGCAGGGGGCGGAACCACGCATGCGCAGCACTCCCGGGCAGGAAAAGTCCTCGACTTACGATCGG